TGCGAGCAAATCTTCATCTCACTGCATATCGACCATATCATTCCATTTACGTACATAGATAATATCTTTATGGTATCTTGCTTGCAACTCCTGAAGAATGATCTCCTCATTTAACTCTGACAATGTAGCTAAATCGTCAACACAACCTTTCTTGGCATTAGCCATTGTTTCCTGCCTTTTGCACGGTGGAAAAGTTCTACAACAGACCTCCGAACATTTTGCCTCGCTCCTGCTCCTACAAGAGCGTGACTCTAACAGGCGGGAATTGCTTTACAGCTAGCTGTCACGCCATCTACTATGTTTGTTTTGCTGCCTCTTTGTTGTATAACGTCACAATGCATAATGAAGCAAAATACATGTTCACAAAAGTCATCACTGTAGCTCTTTAGGAAGGAAGTAGTGCAAGAACAGGAAATCAATTTCTAAGGTGAAAGTAAGTCTTCTGTCTTAATCGCAGAACTGTCCAAACCTTGTTTCTGTTAAGTACCTGTGGCATGAGGGAGCATGCAAGTAAGTGTCATCCAAAGCCCTGCCTCGTCCCCATGGACCTTTGCATTTCGTTGGTTACTGGTAGCACTGTGCTTGGTTATTTTGCAAAGTTTCGATGTGTAACCAGCCCACAACCACACACACACACGCACACGCACACGCACACGCACACGCACACGCACACCCACACACACAGCATTCGAACCAAGGACAGATGCTGGGGGGCATGGTATGCATGTGGCAGTCTGACGCATGCTTGTCCCATGAACTATTGCATGAAAGTGACATGGGTGATGGCTGTACTATGTAGAGGTTAAAATTGATTGGCTATTGTTTGCATTATCCTGGTAAACAGAAAGATTACAAGTAAAGAACAACTTGTCAGAGAAGAGGCATTCAAAAATATCAATGTTGGTTTGAGAATTGGTGTCTCTTGGGGCCAAAAACAATTCTGTTGACGTCCAAAAATGTTTTCAAACCCCGTGACAGCCATTGAGCACTTTCATATGGATATATTACCAGGTTTTTTCAGCAACTGGCCATATCCACTGGTACAACAATCTAACTTAACCAATGATATGATTCTCCTTCACAAAATATTCACAAATAGAGAGTTTATTCATTTCTCTTTTACACACAAGTGATCAAAACTGACTACAGAAACTTCAACTGTAAAATCTCAGGAAGTTATTTGGGGCTTTGAACACAGAAACATCCTTCATATATTTACAAATTTGTATATTCCCTGAAAGACTGATTGGAAATCATGTAGACCTTATGCTAGGGCAAACAACCTAATAATTCAGTTCTGTTATCTATGAACTACTAATAGCCTTAAATTCCATGGATTGCAAATCCTACTTATGTGGAAAACCAAGACAATATGAATTTGTTAACTACTTATATTATTCTTTGCAACTAGATTAAAAAAGAACTCCCTCTGGTCAACATTGTTCAAAATCTCTGTTAACCATTTTACTAATTAATTTCACAAAATATTTGTAAAACATTAATGATGACAGACTGTTTAGAGGAGACACAAGTGTTGTCAACACAAGTGGAGCATTTTGTTACGTCATGAGGAATGCAATGACCCTTCAGAAGTATTGTACTTCATACTAAAACAAAATCCTGACAGATTGGTTCTTCCTAACTGCTTATACATGTATGTACATAATCAACAACAGCTACTTCAAACTTAGCGATGGCTCTGATCATCAATAATGTAAAAACATAATACATCCAGACTCCTCCCTAATATTCATAATAATCATCTTCCAACTTGTAATCACAGGTTGTAATTGTAACTGTTCTTCAAATATTACTGAAGGATTCTATAACAATCTCAGAAATCATCTTTGGTCAACCCGAACTCCCATCTAACAATCAAGTATTATTTACACTGCTCCAAATGATGAAAGCAAGAAAATACCAGAGTTAATTCACCTCCACAAAGGGAGATCACAATACAGAGAAATAAAACGTTTGATAAAATTTCTTAAGTGAGAAATTGTTTCAAAATACTATTAATAATGATTACGTAGTAACCAAAATGTAGGTTGCAAAAAAAAAAAAAAGAAAAAAAATGAATATTTCATAACACGTTCAGTTGATTCTTAAAGTAAATTACTAACAGAATTAGGTGAATGTACAAACCAAGGATGAACAAAACGGAATTGAAACAAATCTATATACCACACACTAGGAACATACTGAATTTTGTAAAAGAAAACATTTACATTGAGATCCATACAAAAATAGTTCTTGTGAACAAACTCTACTTTGTATAAATCAAAGTAAATAACATAAACTTCCAATGTTGAATAACCATTTGATAGCCACAGTCAATAGCCACAGCAAGTTGTAGCTGCTTTAAAGATCAGATCTGAATTTTTCTCAAGACATTACGACAAAACAACAGGGCCAGATAATGGCAATACGATTAAATCACTTTTACAGATTTAAATGAGATCTGTACAAGGATTTTGAATATTGACATCAAGGTTTCAAGGTTTAAATTAGTTATAAATTAAATAAGCTATTAATTATTATTTTGCTGACAACACTGATTTTCCCACTACTGATTGCATGCAACAGCAACAATATTTACTACATGTAGCTTTTAAACAATAAAAACTAAACTACAAATTAGAGTCTGAAAAATGTTGGTATCCTAGATCAATTTGTCACTAGTTCATGCTGTATAAATTGTTTCAACCTCTCAAGGTATTGCCCGTACAGTTCGACATCATTGTGACCTGCTCCCTCAACCCAAAGAGGATCCACAGTACGTGGGCACCGCTCGTAAATGGCTAAACCATGTGAGAAATCTATAACTTCATCTTCTGTTCCGTGAATGACTAGCACAGGTGAAACAATTTTGGAGACCTTCTCAATGCTGAAAGAAGAAACAAGAAAACACAAAGTATTAGTCAAGACAACTTTTCTCAGTATGTAGAAAATTTCCTTCCATCAAGCTATTACTTTTTCCGACCGTATAGGGAGTTTGTAATTATTGCCTTTGATGATTACCACAGGGTTTTTTTTGGATTTGTTTGATTCATGAGTAAGAATTACCAGTAACTAGACGTTCTAAGAGCATTTACTTGGGCTTTTTGTTATGAGTATGCGTATTGGACACAATAAAAACAAATAAAAAGAATCAGGATATTTTAGCACAAGAGTTCCACTTACATGTAGATATTTAGTATTCATTACTTGCTTTGTTGAGTTTATCCTCCTAATCCAATCACAAGTTGTGAGTTTAAACCATTTTGGTTCAAAAATCAAGAGCAGCTGTCTACGCATTTATGGAGAACATGTTTGCAAAGAATTTTCCAGGTCTCTTTATAACTTATGGTGATTACGTTGTACATCCTAGCAGAAATTGTACGAAGTTAGTTTACAGGTCGTGACGATCTGAGTGAATTGTGCAGCTGAACATCTTTGCTGTGTTGCGATCTTAAACCCTTTTCAAGAGTCATATCTCCTTTGGAGAGCGAATAATCTATTTCGAGGGAGCCAAAACGAATATCATGATAAACTCCTTCGTGAGAACAGTTTACAACAAGGTGTCAAATTACATTTGCACATAATTTGCATAAACTTTCAAGTTGTGTTTTTTGTGGATACATGTAACTTCCAAGAATTTGCAACCTTCACCACAGTTTATGAAGAGACATCCAAGCTACATATTTTTTATTGAATCAAGGCACGAGTATTTTTAAAAAGGAACTCATTTATAAGGGAAGATGCGGCATTCTGCTTTGCTATTTATTTGGTTTTATACTCGCCTCGTCAGTCATGTCACACAACATGATTTTCCTTAGCAGTCAGACACAGTTTTCTAAAAGAATTGGAGATTGCTAAGACTGCTAAGTATATTTGAACTACTAGTGAAATAAATTTGGCTAAACTATCGTCGATGTAGATTTTCCTTAGGACTTTGCAAGAACATTTGTTCATCAATAATCCTGCACAATTCCCCGCACAATCAAAGTTTTAATTTTCCCACACAGTTTGCCTCCAAAATCATACGATGATATTTTTGTTTCCTGCACCCTACTAGAAAGCCAACTAACTTGGAGGTAAGATATTTAATTCAAGTTACCGAAAGTCTTATCTTTACACATTTTAGATCAACAAATTTTGCGCTGTACAAGAAACAAGTCCTATGTTTTAATAAGCTCCCAGTCCAAAAACGTTTTTGTATTTAGCTCGTGTTATATATGTTATTGGCCTGCTGGGAGCTTCGTATAGGGAAAAACTGTGACCGAGGTCTTGAAAATGCTGCCCGAGGCTGCAGGCTGAGGGCAGCATTTTCAAGCCAGAGGTCACAGATTTTCACTATACGGACTGACCCTAACCCAGACAATAACATGTTTATCTTTTTTTTCTTGCGGTAAATTGGCTTACAAGTGGGTTTGTTTAGGCAGCTTAATTGTCTACAGACTCTACAAACCACTGGTAAAAAATCTAACAAGTGAACAAGTGAGTAACTCAGATACTAGACAAAGAAAGATGTATTAAAGAACAGATTTATACCGAACTATTTTATGTTAGTTGCATTTAGTTCACCATTTAAGTTCTCTAAAAGTGCTTTTTGGGTGTGAAAGTTTCCCACGACGCTTAGGGAAAACGGGAAAAGTGATGAAACAATCTCCTGCGTGGACAGCTTGTCAGTATAAAACCTCACAATAACATTCAGAGACTTGAAAATTGGCAGAAATGAATTCTTTGACTTTTTCTGAAAGCAAGTTTCCACTGAAAGCTTTTGGGGTCAATTGAATAAAAAATTTGCGTAATTATTTAAAATGTGGAATTGGAGGTGTTCGTGACTATAAAGCGTGACTAATTTGTACATTCACGCTTTTCACAAAAACATGTCTGTGGTAAACTATATTTCAACCACACTGACAGACGTAAAAAACTATTAAGTGTTAACAATTAAACTGAGTTTTGATCATACGGACTAGAAAAACATTTGGTTACATTTTAGAGGTTTTCCTGAAAGCGATTGCATTAGGATAAACGAAATGTGAGTATTTGGGCCGTGTATTCAATTTCCATAATATTTTAATCAGGTCAATGTATTACGACTGAAAATTAATTCCACAACACTTGGTGGTAACAAACAAAAGTAATTACATAAGACCTCAGTTTTCAGTAGTTTTTCAGATGAACGTAATTCAGACTAAATGGGGCTTCACGATCTTTCACAACGACACCACAAAATGCGTAAATTAACACGCAGGAATAGTGGCGCTGATGTGATGTGTTTACAATTCAACATAACATTTGAGACGGCGCACTGCACGTGAGAAAATTCTCAGAATTGGAATAAAAACAAAACCGATGACAAAGCTTTTTTGCGTAGTATTGTGTGGCGGTATAACAAAATAACTTGTCCCATATTCGGCCACAAATTTCCAGTTAAAATATTTTTCATTTTAGCAGAAATGCCCGGTCAGAGTGTCTGACCAGACTAAGCTTTTACCTGTCAAAACCTCAAATTTACCGGACAATTGTCCGATGACCGACTGTTATTTGCAGGCTTGTATATATTTCAACCCTTCCGAGGCCACCAACATAGGAAAAGCTCCCATCTACTCCTTTACAACAATATTATCAACGATAATCTCTCCCAGAGAACTACATGTAAAATATGAACAGTTACCGAGAAGGATAAATTAATTGGGTCTTAAACACTTTTTCAAGCACACATACAAAACAGTGGAAAAGTGTACAAATATATCATGGCTGCAAAGGTTGTCACAGTGGACTACGTTTGACAACCCTGGGTTAGTATTCCTAACTGTTTTGGTGAGGTGAAAGTTAATGGCGGTTCAGTTGTACCCATATTTACAGTTTCTAATAGTGGCTGGATGATATTTGAAGAAAAAAATTAGTTTGTGTACTCATATATACAATAATGTGACTTCAAAACAACATATTGAATGGAAAAATAACAAGCAGTATATAAAGCTGACACAAGAACCAAGATGGTAAAATAATTTATGCAAAGTGAAGAAAAAATTATGCCTGAATGACAGTGAAAAAACAACATTGCAGCTACATATTGCAGGGCCTAAACCTGCTGTATTCTGTGGTCTAATTTACGGCAGTTGTTTGGGTTGCCAGGCAACAATTCTCCCACTAATGCCTGCTTAAGCCCATGAGGCAGTAGCACAAAGTTACCACGTAGTTTTAAATTAGGTGACTTTATTTGTTGGAGTGACTGATTTCGCAATCTTTTTTCTAGAATTGGAAGAATAATCCAGCAGAGTTGACCAACCGAGATCGTCTAAAAGTAGATAATAATTTCCACTGACTACTTAATTTGAAATCTACTACTAAACCAATCAGAAGTGATGTCTTGTTGCAATTCCAACATCAGAAATGTCAAACAGATCTCAAAGATGTCATCTTTTGAATTTGACATAAATGCCGCAGTTTTACCCAAATAAAACATCAGGTAAAATGGTATATGGATTGTAGAAAGTTTAAGAATTGAAGAACCCAGGCAGTGGCTTGACACTTCCACTTTTTGTCAATAGGCATAAACAAAAGGAAATGAAAGCAGCTCCGTGATTAGTGGGGACTCAGCTTTACATGATGACCCAAGAAATGACTGCAAATGAGACCAGAAGTATCTTGGGCCATTCTTTATACAGGGCTGTCACAAAGTTTTGCGTAATTACATGTAGATGAATGACGTTTTTGTTGGAGTAGGCAGCTGACGTTTTTCTTAAGAATCAGATGGCCGATTAGCGGAGCAGAGGGCAAAACACGATACATGAGCGCGGAGCATGAGTTGCAAAAAATCTGCCTGTTTATGTTCTACCGCCCCCTTGAAATGATTGGCATGAAGGAATGAGAGAGAACAAAACAATTTATTTATGCATACATGACGCAAAACAGTCAACAGACCTGAACATCTAACTTTAGCTAAATTTAAATCATGTGGTGCCAATAAGTCATGTGGTGTTAATAAGTCCTCCTGATAGCACAACAACATTAAGTGCCCTTCAGAAACAAGTGAGGAGAAAAATAAAAGGTTGAGAGGCTGGAATTGATAAGAGAACAGAAAATGTAGAAATGTCACGAGCCGTAGGAGTCCATGTACGCCTGTCACCCTAATTTAACACATTTTGGTTTTTTCTCCTGTCTGACGTCACATGGCTTAAAGCAACCAATCAGCAAAAACCATTCACCAGGCGAACGGTTGGAAGAGCATAAACAATGGTGTGACTACAGGCAGATTTTTTTTTTGACTTGCACTTGGCGCTCGTGGTCACGCTCCACACCTGTGGTCACACTCAGTGCTCGTGTATCACGCTTTGCGGTCTGCTCCACCGAACCGCCTGTTCAGCAGGCTACTTACATGCTGCATGTGGCTAACAAGATCAAAACGATAATTTCTCTTTGGTGGCTTATGTCAGTCTTAAACAATTACTTTTGAAATAGTTTTTAACTTGGTTTTTTGGTTGTTCCTTTCCCATAATTCAAACATTACCTTTTCAATACATGGAGATCATTCACAAATTTTTACCTGAATCTGATGAACTAGTAGAGCACACATGCACTTAATCCGTTTTTCCTTATTCAATTTTGCCTTTATCAAGATGATCGTTGATTTTAAGACCAAATTCCAGCCATTTATGTACAGATGTACATTTGCAATCAACATCTTCTTTTAACGGATTCAACTGTCAACAGAAAGCTGTCCAGCGCTTTGAAAACGTTGCTGAAATATCTGGAACATATAAGCTTACACCGGAAAAAAAAGCCCACAGGAGAAACCGGCTAAAATGAAAACCCTTAATTAAAGATCGCATATTTCCCGTTGCCAGGTTCTTCCTTTACAAAACATCACAGTGATTCACAAAAGCAACCTTTTTCAAACTGTAAATTGGGAAATCAGTTGCGGGGAAAAGATGGCTTAAGATAAGACACAAAAAAATCCTTACAATAAAAGAGCTATTTAAGAAAACTTATTGGTTATCCAAATACAACAAGTGCTGATTTATTTATATTTTTCTTATGTACATGGAAATATGGATTAATTCGATTGCAAACGATCGGGTGTTGGCCAGAATTTCAACAAAATGTATTATTTATTTTTTTGTAAGCTTGAAGAAGAATCAAAATTCTTCCGATGTTCAATACTTCCTTGAGCTAATACAAGCTTAACTCATATTAGTTGACGAAGCCTGAGTGAAAGAGTCTTAATAAACAATAAACCGTACAAAATGAGACAGCGAAGCCCAATTACCTGCATGCACAAACTGAGAAAGAATACTTCTTCTTGATTTCAAACAAATCCGGACAAAATCGATTAATGGATCTTGCTATACAAAACAGGAAATGCGTCGAGATTTTAAAATGATTTAGCTCATGTCTAAATTCAGCACGTTGTAAGCACGTACATTGGGTCACGATCAGCATTTTCATAAACTTAAGTCTATAATTTCAACTCACCTTGGAAAAGCGTCAAAACACCACGTTCTCTTGGTTTCGGGAAAAGCCACTCTCATCCCAGATGTAAGAGGTGAATGAAGTATAATGCCCGCACATTCAAATCTTGACGCCAAATCTATTGTAGGAACAGTTCCTATACTTTGACCATAAACAATGATATTCTCAGGGCTGATTCCATACCGCGTACGTAATGCCTGCCAAGCAGCGTCGATATCGGCGTAAAGATTCTTCTCTGAAGGTTTCCCTTGACTAACACCGTATCCAGAATAGTCATAGGAAAATATATTACAGTTAATCCGTGTTCCAAGACCAACATAAAAGCTTGACATTTGTCCAAGATCCACAGCATTCCCGTGGCTAAAGAGTAGGGTGAAACGAGCGTTCGGAGCGCATCGAACGTACATACAACCGACTTGATTACCTTTGCTTGTTTTCGTCGTGAAAACCTCGATACAGTCTAACTCCTTCTGGCCATACTGCCATTCAGCTTTCTCTGTGAGATGAAGCCCGAAGCTTCCATCGCCCAAATCTTGAAATGAATATGTCGGTTCGGGGGGAAGGAACGCTAACTTCGCGGCTATCTTGCCCGGGCAAGGCGGACAACAAAACAAACAGCAAATCTCCGAAAATGAAAGGCCGTTCATCTGGAAGCCTTTCACGTCAAACTTAAAGCCAGAAAAGAGATAAAAAAGGTAAAAATTCCCTTGAATTTGTCTCAACGTCAAACTTCCATGCTCAGTTCGACTTGGGAAAATTAGGATTCGATTCCAGTTTTCTTCGCGTCGTTAATTTGCTTACATCACAAAAGCACCTGTCCCTGGAGACCATGACGTCATCCTTTGTCAGTTGGGAGGAGTGGGTGCTCTGCATACATGGCTCCTGACAAAGACATATTTGCGTATAAGTATTTTTTCACAAAAAAAAAAAAAAAAAAAAATCGCTGAAAACAATTTCATCATCATCGAGAGAATTCAAGGTCTTAGGTTGTTAAAATTTGGCTACTTTTCACAAATCAAACAATTACAAACACGAAAGAAACGAGAAAACAATGAAAAACTGTAGTGTCGTAACTGTTCCTTGATGAATAACTTGCAAAATTTTTAATTAAAAGTCAGGAAATCACCGGTAGTCACATATATATCATTCATATGACATCTTTTTAATGTTTCTTTTCTGCCATCATTCTTTCACTCATTGCATCACGTACTGTACGTGATGCGTGGACTTGTGAAGGAAAAAAAACATTGTATAAATTTTTCAAGGCAGGTCAGAGATAATTCGACTTGAGATTCATACTATGGATTAGTTTTGTTCATTTTATCAGCTTTGTATATTCATTTTTTTTCGGGGGAGAGGGGGTGATATCAGAGAAATAAAACGGTGTCAAATAATTTATCTTCTATAAATTCATGTCTCCATCTGCTGTGTCAGCGAGTTCTATTTCTGGAGCCATGGCTCCCCTAAATTGTTTTTTGTCCCTGTCGTTTACACGCAAAGGTGACAGGAGTATTGGACACGAGTGGACCGTTGTTGCGAAAGCAATTGCATCTTCCAAGAAAAAAACAAACAAAAAATAAATAAATAATAAGCATTTCGCTTCAGTAGATGTTTTTCCGTTTGTCCTCAAGAAAGCACCTTTAGGAGACAACACATGTTGAGAAAAAATGTTTCCCTGCCGGGCGCCTTTTGCGACCCTTTGCGAATTTTAATAATAAACGAAATGACAAAATGAGACATTTGAAAGCTATTATTTGTAGTCAACAAAGCTCTAACAAGCTGTAACATTTTTAACTCGCAGTTTTATTGAACATCCAGCAAATCAGGCTACTTAAAATATGGAAGGAAAGATGCGAGAGAGTGTTGCATACAACATTTATGCATGTGGTATGCAATGCGAATCCAGGATAACAGGGAAGAGGGTGGCAAAGGGCTAAATGCGTTACACATGATGAGGGCAAAAAATAAGTGTGACGCGTGAGAAGCGATTAAAAGACATGCACATTTTTAAACACACGGCATTCATGGAAATGAGGTTTATAAGTAGAATATTGTTGTAAGTTAAAAGGATTAGAATTTTAGGTTTAGGATCCTAAACATTTTACTGGAATTTATTGTACCTGATGAATTTTTACCGTGTATAAATAATGATTAAAGATTATTTAAGATGCACACTGCGTGAATTTAGAACAAGACAGCCTTACAAAGTCCTTACAGGGACAGCTGAGTCGATTATCGTCTATTCAAGCTGCCGAATACCTCTGTCAAATCCACAACGTTGATGCACAACTGCGCCTACAATGCACTCACTGGACTGTTCTATAACGTTTCTGAAGATAAATGAAATACTTACTCTCCGCCTTTGATGAAAACCACAGTGACTTCTTTGACTGGTTCAATGATTACCCTACCCTACGGTGAACCTTGCTTGGTACAGGTATGCTTGGTACGAGACTTGTGTTTAAAAAGTTTAATATGTGCCATGGGGGTTGCATTTAACTAAGTTGTTGTTGCTAGTTTTTTTTTCTTTTCTTTTCTTTTCTTTTCTTTTTTTTTTTTTTTCATACGCAACACTCGCAAAAATCAACCTGAGCCCAGCTCCCCCAATCCTCTCCGTGAAACAGACACTGCTAGGAGAAGACTGGTGCTTAGCTCATTTCCAGTCTCCAGCAGGAAAGCAACATGGCGGAGCTACTTTGTGACCTTTGTGGGTTTTTTTCCGTGTCCATCTGTGTTCATACCTATTAGCTTTTCCTAATATTAAGGAAGAAAGACCTCGAAATGCCAACTGTAGTGCTCCTTGATGTTTCACTTTCCATGCTACGGCGTGTCCAAACACCAGAGGATGAGTTTGTTGAGCGCCGCCATCTTGCGATCCGCGGTCTTCATACTTTCTTTGACTACTTGTCTAGCAAGTTCAAGTTAGAATTTTCGGCCTTGCTGGCTTTTTCTTCGCTGTGGGAGATCGTGGTACCGTTCACCAGAGATTACCAAGCACTTAAACAAGGCTGCATAACGGTTGATGTGTACGACAAAACAAGCTTTGAAAATGGTTTTAGTGGTGTGGTTGGTCATGTTATCGAAGAGTGGGGTACATCTGTTCCATGTCAAGTGATTTTAGTCACTGATGGCCGCACGGGATCAGGACAGGGCTCGCTAAGGGAGCTTCTAGAAGGAAAAAGGAAGGAAAATTCTGATCAACCGTGCCCGTTTCCTATACCCTTTCCATGCAAAATACACGTTGTTTGTATCGCGACTGCGAATGAACTGGGAGGAGATCTGATGTTGTTTCAAAGACTGTGTGATTCAACTAGTGTAGGAGGCAGTGTTTATGTCCCGGACATGCCTCTTACTGTCCAGTCAGTTCAGAATGTGTTCACACGCCTAGCACAAACCCACTACATAAGTTATGAAGGCACTCTGTCTTGTGGCCATTTACAATCCAGAATAACACTATCCCCACCACCAGACTTAACAAGTATACTTGAAGTATCTAAGGCCAAAGGACAAGAGAAGACAAGAAGGCTGCCAAATGAACTAGCTATATGTGGTTTTCTTGATGTAGCAGATGTTGGCAGTCCGCCACACATTTCTCGTCATCTGGTTATACCACTTGCTTCATCGTCAGGGGATAGTAAAGATAAAGAAGGAGGTAAAGAGGCTGCCAAAGACAGTGAGGAGGATGGTAAAACACCGTCCTTCTGTGTACTCTTACATGGAAGTCTGAAAGTAGAGAAAATGGTGGCTATTGTCACACTTGAGTGAGTACATAAGACAATACAGCCAACTGCAGTGTTGGTGGTTTACTGAGAACTTGCATGACCTGAGAAGTTCACATATGAATGGCAAAAGAGTGCTGTTCCCGTGCAGAAAATATTTCTCCTTTGAGAATTGAGTTTCTCGTATAAATTTCCATTTGTTTTGGAACACCAACACGGCTGTCATGAAGATGTTGTCTTTTATTTTGATTGACGGGTAGTACCGGTAAATTTTCATTTTGCCTTCTATCAATGTTATGCCAACTCAGTGGAGGACAAGGAATGGAGGGATGGTGCAACTCTAACAGACACAGTTTGAGCAGTATCATGTATCATTATATATTATTTGAATTTATGTGTGATGAATTATATTTAAGTTCCCAATAGCTGGCAAGTTCTTTTGATTTCCAGCTAAAATTTGCTTTCTTTTGAAACCTCATTTATTACAGTTGCAACCCGAAATATAGAATTTTCGGGATCATTTTAGATGCTTATCATTTGCCAGAAACCCTAGTGGAAATACATGCACCATTCATGGTTGCATAACAGTATCCTTTTTGATACAGTCAGCCGACCGTAAAAGATATTATTCATAAAAGAATTGTTTATAATTTGTTAAAGGAAGAGCAAAGCATGAGCTCTCTGCCATCTTAGAAAAAAAAAACACACAAAGTGGGCCCCATATGTACATTACATTTGAATCTTGCTCTAGCTCGAACATTGAACATTGCTTGCATTTGCACTTGTATCTGCATTGCATACAAACCAACCTTGAGATTTAATAGTTTTACGGCATTTCCGAGAAGAAATATTATTTGTTCTTTGGTTGTAATGATAGTCATTTGCTGATTTCTTCACTAGCATGGACTGGTTTGGAATGTTACATTCTTGGGCAGACAGCAAAAAGAAATCCAACCTTGTCCTAACCACATTCTGCCCAGGAGAGAATATTTCCTGGCTCGGCAACATACAGAAACTAGGCCCTGCAGCAGAGCTGGATATCAATCCATATCAAACAGCAGAAAATGATGAGGGTGAGACCACACCTTTTCCAGTGATGCCAAGTCAGAGGAGAAGCTATAATTCACAAGCCAGTGTTGTTTGGATCAAACCGAGTGGGTTGCAGGTAATTACCTATTATTTGACAGTGAAGGTTTGGTAAAGAATTCTGAAATTGCTAGTTTTTTTATCATAAAAAATATTGACTTGTGGCATGTACATCATGTCTCTTACATGTATTGACTTCTGGTCTGATTCTGATTTTAGTCTGATGTTCAAAAGCTGTTGCGATATGCTAAGAGGCTTCCAGATAAACAAGGGCAGTTTTACAAGGTTGGTGACATTGAACATGAGTTTTTTCTAACCCAACACTTTTCTCCCAGCTTAATAACAATACGATTTTCTGATGCCTTTATATGTATCAAACTATAGAACTTTCTCCAAGAGCTGCTAGACCCCTCCCCCACACTAAGTGATGAAAGGACCAAGGTGATGCAAAACTTGTTACTAGACTACAATATGAAGGTGTCTTTATTAGACAAGAAACTGGACAAAGCTTAAAGGAAGCGTTGTGATTTAAGATCTCTTAGTGGTGTGAATATTGCAACACACACCCTTCTCCGGTATGTCTGGTGGCAATGTTGGTTTTGGTTAACCTTGTCATTGTTGACTATTTTTTCAGGAATTGAATAGACTGCGACGTGCCGCCTTGTGTTACAGTTACTTGGGTCTGCTCGATGTATTAGCAAGCATGTTAGACAAAGAGTGCCACAAGGCCACTGCTGAGGTGGCCCGTCAGTTACAGCATGCTTCTGGAAGCCTTAGAGCTTCCCCAACTGTAGATTTAAACAAGCCTATCACTCCAATCCAAGATTAGTAGCCTCTTGGTTGAAGTTGATCAAAACAATGGATTCTTAAAAAGTGTTGACGAAATAACTGTAAAGGACAGATTAAGCTCCGCACGCATTGCAAGCCTAAGATGTTAGATGATTTATATGGGGCTTTGATGCTAGATACATGTAAATGTTGAAACATTTTATCAGGTTTTCCCTTGAATGACTTATTTCATTTGTTTTGGGGAACAATGAGATTCATTAGGCGCAAAGAAAACAGATTTTCCAGGTTGCCATTGACCAGGTGTGAACAATTGAAGGCTTTTGCGCAAAAAGGGCGTATATAGCATTTTGGGTCGATTTATTTTTTGCAGGATCGAGCTAATTTTTGGCACAACTGACTTGTTTTGACATGAAAAGCATCGTTGCGTAATTGTTTTTGTTGATTTGCGCTTCATTTTCAAGAAATAACGTATGCAAAAAACTCAGTTTTCCAAGGGTATCTTTTGGAGATCTTTTGTCAAGGGAAAAACAAAAGAAACCTTTTGTTTTGCTAAACGATGAAGTCACCGAAGCGTGGCATTTGCTACTAGTGTTATTATTCATATAATTACGCTTAATTCTCTTACTGTTGCTTCATTAGCACAATCGAATAAGGCGCTGAACGGGCTGGATTCAAGTTTGTAGTGACACCGGTTCAATACGAGGTCGGTCGATTTTTTTTTTCCGGTCTATTTCTCTACTTCTTTCAAAAATCAAAACATCTATTTAAACAAAACTGTGCTGTCGAAGCTGCTAAAAGTAACCGTTTAAGTTTGCGTTGCGTCGAAATCCACCTTCAAACGATTCGCTCCAAAAGATGCTACTCGGAAACTGAGTTTTTTTGTATACGTTATTTCTTGAAAACGAAGCGCAAATCAACAAAAATAATTATGCAACAATGCTTTTCATCTCAAAACCAGTCAGTCTGCCAAAAATTACCTCGATCCTGCAAAAAATAAAAATCGGCCCAAAATGCTACATACGCCCTTATTGCACGAAAACCTTCAATTATGCGCTAGTTTGAAGGTCTTTCTTAATGGCCTTACACATACGTAAAAGTTAAAAAATGTTAAATATCCATTGAGCAAGATAAACAAAATCTACTGGCCTTAAAGAAAAGTTTACTATGTCAGGCTGTTGGACAGGACTTTCTTTGAAAGTTGTTCAAGCTGAGAAATTTCATACTGACAAAATAGAACAAGAGCCTGAGATCTATGTAGTCTTGTCACAATCTGTCTTGGATAGACTGGATATATTATCAGCCACTGTGTGCAAAAGGACCCCACACTACTCCCCAAAGTTTTCCCAGGGAGGACCTTTGGGGATCAGACCCTGAGGCAGCAACCGAGATCAAGCCTATGTCTTTGACAGATTGTCACTCAAATATTCAAGGACAATCATAATAGAGTGACAACCAATCATATCCCTGAATCACAGTCAGCTCTCTTGCAGGAGCTAAACTGAGCTCAAGTTGGATTACACTGGGAAAGTCTAATTAATCACATTTCAAGTGTTCACAAAAGCAGGGAAGAAATTAGAGCAATGGCAAGGAACATGCTGCCAGGCAATGTAAATGCATTATCCATCTTTGAATGTTTTTAGCCACCCAGAAATGACCAAAGATTCCATGTAGTGTAAACAACTTGAAACACAGAATTTTGCATGTTTCTAGGGTAACTTTTGTTACATACACAAAAGTTTTTTAAGTCCCTTAGGAGAGAATGTTCTGACACCAGTAAGGCACATAATAAATTTAGACACTGAGAGATTCAAAAGTAAACATAAATTCATCTTCCCCAATCGTGTTGTCAGTGGTGTTGTTGTGGAGGGCACAAACTTAAGCTTCCTTTTACACTGAAACCTGTAGTAAGCGGACCCCGTATTAACCTCTGTAAAGCAGATGCGGACGCCAACATTAAGCCATTTTGTTGCACAAAACCTGTAATAAGCGGACACTTTGAGGGCTTTTTACTTCTAAAAGCTCAGCTGAGACTCCTTTAACATTGTTCAGCGATGTTGTTTTAAAGCTAAGTAAATTATTCCAGATTGATGCATTGACTGACTGACCACTGTGCTATGAGCAGCTTTTGATCTTACACCGTGTTACACTTTGTAACAAAAGGGTTATTAATTAACTATTATTGCACAATATATTAGAACCCGCTTAGAGCGGACACCCTGTATTAAGCAGACACTAGTGAGGGTCCCAAGGTTGTCCCAAGGGTGTCTGCTTAATACAGGTTTCACTGTACATCCCTTCTAATCCGATGCACAATCGCAGTTTTTGTTACATGTAAATATATTCAAGGGCTGGAAAACTTTTGTGCCTATTTATTTGAGCAACAAAAGGGACACTTCACCCTGTGAGACAGAGATTTCCTTCTCTTTCTGCTTAGTGAGAAAGTCACTGAGCAGAAAGCAAATGGAATCTCTGTCTTGCCGGGTAGGCACACTTTGAAGTTTCAATCCAGTTCCTTTAAGTAGGTAAAGCCCTTCCATCTCCTTATGCAATCTAGATACCCACTTAAAGTGCCCATAATGTCAAAACTTTTTTTTCACTCATCTAATTCTACATTTCACCTAATGAGCTTCCGCGAAAAAATTTTTCGATTTGGATAAAATGCAATTTTTTCACGAATCTTTACAAAGTTCAAAATTCTATTTTCTTGCGGTCGACCCCTGCTGCTGATCACAAGAACAACGTGCTCAAAATGGCCATGAGACTGATGCCTGTGACGTAAGTTCAGGAACCTACGATGAAGACTGATGTTGTTTTCTGGATCATTAACGTTGTTACAAAGAGCGGCAACGCACCTTTCCAGCATTTTCAACTAAATGTAGACAACTCTGAAGCAAAATTTCCACTTGTTTTCAAGTCAGATAAGTCATGACCCAAATCACGTGTTCCTGAACCTACGTCATGACTCACTTCAAACCGAGGAAGACTGGTGCGAATGGTGGACCAAAATGGCGGCAAATTTGAACGTCTTTAAAAACCTATAAAAAAATTGCCTTTTATCCAAATCGAAAAATTTTTTCGCAGAAGTTCATTAGGCGAAATGTAGAATTAGATGAGCGAAAAAAAAAATTGACATTATGGGCACTTTAATGCTCATCCATTTTGCAAGCATATCTTAACTGTGAGCATTGTCTCCTACAGCAGCAGTATGTTCTTAAACATACAGACAAGAACACTGAAAGTGAATGTGCACTAATTATTATTATAAATTATTCAAGAACTGGGATAAACACATCGTACATGTATTGTACATTGCTAAGTGACTTGCTTCAAAATTACATGTAAGCTTGGCAATAAAAATAAATGTTCTAGACTACTGATCATAAATTTGTAGGCTTTGCACACACAAGAAGTTGCAGTGTTTTCACTAACCTATTATACTAAGTCTTGATTTTGGTTGCCTTTGGCCTCCTTAACTTTCTGTCAAAAAATTTAAGTTCTCATATATGATAGCCTTTAAAAGGAGTTTTGTACCCATTTTCATGGATTCTTTAATTTTCAGTCACCATCTACATGTTCATGTATCAATGGCCATGTCTTCAAGTTCCTGAAGTACCTGTAGTCAAACCTCCACTATGACTAATGGCCACCACTCCTCAATGGTCACCTTTCTTTGTCAAGGCAAATGACCCACACATTCATTCTTATTTTAACTTCTCTACAATATCCACCTCTCCACAACAGCAACAGCCACTAAATAAAATAATCCTCTGACAATGGTCAGTTAGTCAATGACTGACGAACGGTGAAGACAAAGCCCCATTATTTATTGTCACAGGTGACAAAAGTTAATCCATACTGTGCGTTGTTGGTCTCTGTCTCTATTTCGATCAAAATTCTGCACCCCCCTCCCCCCAAAAAATACAGGTTTGAGTGTGTCATATTACACCCCTACCTCCCCATAATGGCCTCCTCTCTACAACGGCCACCTTCCTCTGTCCCTAAGGTAGCCATTGTGGAGAGGTTCAACTGTATTCCTTTTACTTAATGAGACTAAAGTTCACAAAGCACTACAGGTACACTTTTTAACCAAACTTGATTCCTTGGGCAAGGGGAAGCTCTTTACTGAAGTTTATTGTACTGAGGAAAGAATCAACAAGAATACTGTTAGTGACAAAGAAAGCAATACACCTCCCTTGTTCTAGACTGTATCTAGACTGTTAGATATGGCAATTGTTGCTGATGTCATTGTTTACATTTTGCTTCAGATCACCCTAGATAAAAGTTTACTCCAAGATTTAAAGAGCTTCTGAAACTTGATCAATTTATTACTAGTGGCGAATATTTACATTGTTTGCGTGTAAACTGTTGAACAAGATATGCGCTTAAACAGGGTGCAAAATTTCTTTGCAAAATATTGAGTTTTTAAGTCAGTGTCGCAGACAGACAGGGCGGCAAATGTTGTAGACAAAGGTTCAATCCCCTTTTTGTAGCGTGAGAATTTGCATGAATGTATCATTGGTCAGCTAGAATATTGCTACATTTGGCTGCAATCAAAAATTAAAGCTGATCAGAAGTAAATCTGTGAATTTTTTTACCAGGTTGACCTCCTCATGTAAGCTTTCCATGCATCACTTCCAGATTCCCGTCCTCCTCCAGTGTGTTTCTCACCGCCTACCAAATTAAAATAAGAATTATAGTTGAATGGTCAAAAGTGAGACTTCGAAAGACAGAGGAAGAGTTGTGCCACTTTATTACAGGGATGTAACTAAGTTAAAGCTAAGCGGCTCAGCCAGCTTTTCTGCCCCCTGCATCTTCAAAATTACCCTGCAGTCTTTTTTTCCTAGTGACAATTGACAGCCAGCAATAAGCTATCTTTTAAGTTGCTTTATCATTCACTCATACTCACTGCACTTACCAAATGCACCTCCAATCTCTGCTCCACTTGTCGGAATGTTGACATTTACAATTCCACAGTCAGATCCTAAGGGACTGGTTAAAACACAACACAAAAAGCATTTACAACAGGGTCACTTGATCAGGCATACCAATTCGGTTGGCACTTCAAAGACTTGCAAGTAAGGCCACTGACTTATGAGGTGAACTTAAGTCAGTGTAGACATCTTACTGTAAAGATGCCATGTAACTTAACCCCAGCTGACAATAGGAGTGGAGGCTCATAGGAACAAGCATACAGCTGTGTCTTGAAAGGTTACCCTGCCCAATTAGAAGCCCAAAAGCGCATACAAAAAAATGCCTAAAGGTATTCCGCATAGAGGTCCTTTACTGTTGATTGATCAAAGTACAAGGTGTTTCATCTAAACTAAAGATAACCCATGAATATACAATTCATATTATTTATGATTTCCTTATACAGCACTGAAACACTGTGGACTTTGATCAAGCAACAGTGAAAGTTAATTTAGCACCACCCATGATACTCTTCACTATCGGTGCCTACTATTCTATGATTCTGTAGGATAACCTTTCTGGAAACAACTGTTAGGATGCAAGTGGAAACATTTATTTTCCCTGTCTGAGTATGTAAGCCCTTGAGCCATTCAGCAAGGCTATGCTAACCAGGAGGGAATAATGCATACACATATATCCTTGAAGTTCTGCGCTATACATTACCCCATCCAGTTAAACACTTTGGAGATGTCCTTTGTGAAAATGCTGCTGGAGAGTCCTTGTTTAACTTCATTATTGTAACTGACAGCCTCTTCAAAGCTCTGAAAGTTTAGAACCACAAAAATTAGCACCAAGAGAAGGTTCAGAATTTTGTCTTGATTCAGCATGGGGAGCCCCATTTAACTAGTTCATTTCTTGCAACTTCAGTTTGCCCAAACCTTACAAAACGTTTTAACTCTTAAAGCATTTAAGTCACAGTTTGTCTAACAATCAACAATCAACCTTTATTTTAAAACGATAGTTTTCAAAGCTACAAAAAAGCTTGTGGGGTCGTTTAACAAGGGATCTAATGTGCTAATGGACTCATACAAATTTACAACTTTCCTAAAAACTTAGATATATACAATAAGTAAATTTAACTAAACTTCATGTGGATTGCTATATTTAAAGGGTCAATCTTATAAGGGTTATACACAATGTAAAAGACCATATTCTACAAACAAGCTTTCCTAACAAAGTCACACTTTTATTAAAAAATCATATGAATTATTTTTAATCAATCAATTATTTAAAATAATAATACCTTGCATTTGAGCACATAGAGGAGTGGTACAAAGGATTCCCTATGCACGATCTCTGCATCATGAGAAAGACCGGTAACAATTGTAGGCTCCACATAAAAGCCAGGCCTGTCAAGTACCTACAGAATCAAAAGGTGGCAGTTTGAAATTCCATTCTCAAACTCATTTAATAATTTATCAAGTTTAAACAAAGGAAACCATGACCCAGACAATGTTTGGATATCTGATCTTAATTATCGTCGATTTTTACCATTTTAATTCTCTGTTTTTTCCTTAGTTTTAGTTTCATTTGAGAAGATATATCAAACACTCAAGACTGCAGTGTTTGACCACATTTCCAAACACCTCGAAGTTTGTCAAAAATACTCTGCTACGTGTCATATTTTCTAATCTCTTCTCAGTGTCTGGAAATGTGGTCAAACATGGTTTTTTCTATTTGGTATGGTACATAACAATATTTAGAGAGAAAGCCACGTACATCAACCTTTAACCTGGGTTTCAGATGGCCTATGGACCCACCACTCTGACTGAATTGGAATTGTGGGCTGGAATGAAACCCAGGACACACTGGTGGGAGGTGAGTTCTCTCACTGCTGGCCACCCCTGTTCCCCATACACAAGGCTTTGTGTATTGCTTCTATTCTGAATGTAGGGATAAACAGTTCTTAATACAAGTGTAGCAAAGAAAACAGTGGTAACTGATCTTACCTTTCCACCACATTCAATGCTTCCTCCCTGCATCAAAACAAAAATGAAAACAACACAACTTTAAAACAAAACTAAGGTTAAAAGTCACAGTAACTTCATTCAAAACGGTGGCAATTATTTTTAATTACTGTATATTTAAGAAGGCCCCAAGTTTATAAGTGGTGTAACTATTAGGTGTCTACCATCTATATCAAGATTGATTGATTGATTGATTGATTGATTGATTGATTGATTGATTGATTGATTGATTGAACAAAGATCTTTTATCTGACAATCGGCAGAATGTTAACCAATTCTTGACCAACACTCTTCTAACAAGGTAATGACCTGGATTATTTGATTTTGCTAAGGGAAGAACAAGGAAAAAATTAAGCCCCCCCCCCCCCTGATGTTTCCTTTTAGAAATTTGTGCTTCTGAAAGCCCCCTCCCTTCAAAATTTTCAATATGGGGTATGGAATGGGTATATAATTATGCACTATACTTTCTAAAACCACGCAATCATTATTTACTTAATGAGCCAACCTGTTTCTGGGCGTCATCAACAGCCTTCTTGAAAATATCAATTGCCATTTCAGAGTGGACTGGTCCATAGAGAGTGTCCGCTGTGTATGATGTAGGAACTAGTTTGACTTTGAAAACTTACATTGTGCTTTTAAAAAGGATTGCTTCTAGCCTCTCAGGAGTCTTTTCATATTAACTGTTAAACAGCTCAAAATAATGTGTATACTGAGTAGTGGCTTGATCCTTCTTACTACATATCATTGTGTTACAAATTGTACGGGTAGCAAACATTCATGTATGAATATTGCACATCACCAAGAAAGAAAATGTGATGATAAACATGAGGAGACTTGGACAAAAACAATGACTGACAGTAACTTGGATCTACCAAAAGAAGTGATTTAACTTGAAAAACTCAACATAAATAATTGAAAGAAATCTTAGTCTTAGATCTCACAATAAATTTGTTAGAATGTCAATAGCATGTTTGAGCAACAACTGATCAAATCCCTATCCCTATGAATTTCTATAAAACTCTGTCTGGGATCATCAGAATGGAAATATATAAATGTCTGTAGTTTTTATTACATTCATTTTGGAAAATTCTACAAGTGGGTGAAGAATTGCACATATAGAAAGAGACAGACTGTGTGGACTAACTAACCCTCTTTGCAATCCAATTTTGCACAACACTCCTGTTTTTGGTACTTGGTCTTACCTTCTAGAGGATCGCCTATTCTGACCTGGGTGTAGGCCTTCTTTAAACGTTCCACCACCTCATCATGGATGTCTTCATGCACAGTCTGCAATCATCATTAAAGAAATTGCAAGATTTAAGAATTAACCTCTTCTTCTCGCAAGCAATGAAAGAAAAGTATGTATGGCAATGTGTTATTTGCTCTTACTAATTTATTATTGAATACATGTTAGTAACTTACATTAATCTGTAATATGGGCTGCACAGATATGCCATAAGTTGACAGACAACATAGGATATTAATCAATTATCTAATGATTGAGCATCTTACTTCAAAAATTCACTCGCACACTTCCAACTTTCAACACCTCAGTTAGTAAACCGCAAGCAGTTCAGTAACAATCATGAGACTATTTTGTCAAATGTGGATGAATGAAAGTTACCAGTCTTCGTGTCGTGGTACATCTCTGGCCAGCAGTGCCAACTGACGCAAACAGCACTGATGGAATGGCAAGATCTAAATCTGCATCATTCATAACTTAAAAGAATTAAAATACAAAGCAGTTAGAAACATTTGTGTGCCTGACTTTCAACATAATCGTGTATTATTAATTAAAACTCAGATTGCATGACTGTAAGCAAATTGCCATATTTAGAGAGGACCTTAGCTGGTTTTCTGTGCAGGTCCTCTCTCCTGGTCGAATTGGAATTTAGAGTGTTAGTTTTTGTGTTAATTACATACATTGGGTAAACTGGTTGAGATGTGAAACCTGTATGGTGCATTCCATACACATCTGCATGTAGATTTTTTCCTACAAATTTTACTGACAGAGACATTTGATTTGAAAATATGATTAACATAACCTTAATTTATAAAATTACCTGTACCATATTTATTACCATAATTTATTTACATAACTCTTTTAATTAATGAACAGTTTTATACCAATAATGGCATTGTTTCCTCCAAGCTCCAAGATTTTCTTTCCTGTAAAGGTTTAAAGTAATAATTATTCTTAGATGTACCTGTCTAACAACCTTTAATTAATTTAAATGCAATTAAAAAATCAGAAAACCAATTGAAAGAAAAAAACAGCAATTCAATAAAGTAATCTCTTTTAAACCATTTAACCTGAAAGCTTTTTCCTTCAGCCACTTACCAAATCTGTTTTGCACTGTTGTACCAACCTTCCGACCAACCTATTTGCAACATAAAACATAAAACAAAATTTTAAGGTCATTCACACACATCACTGTGATATTAGGAAACAAACTTACAAACAAAGAAAGGTGTGGCTTACTAAAGCCCTTTAAGAACAGGGTTTCTTAAACAATAATGGCCGGTGAATTCTGCAAATCCTTTGCTACATCGTACAATATACGTGCAATAAATTATTGTCACTGATCAGGATTATCTAATATTGACCGTTAGCCCTTTTAGAAAACACTGATGTCCTTACTAGCCTTTTTTAACAAACACACTTCGAAAAGTGATGTGGACAACAAAATGGCAGCGTCTTGTGCATAGTGTCATTCCCCTCCCATGACTGTCGCATATGTAAGTATCTGGGATGGTACAAGGGATACTAGTATCCATAGGCTCAATTCATATTCATTTGGTGATGACATTAATGAGAGTTTGATATTTAATATTTTCTCTTGTGTTATATTCAAGCCAACCAACTGTCTATTTTAAAGGCCCCTGTAATGTTTACATAATTAAATAAAAATGTAATTTGACGTTTTACCGATGTGCTGCCAGTAAAAGACACCAGGTCAACTCTCTCATCTTCTGACATAGCTTGACTGCAAATAGAGATCTCATTTAGATACACAGGCTACTAACAACAAACACATAATGCATAACAAAGTACGTATATTAATATATGATACATATGAAAAACAGAATAAAGGTTTGAACCGGTTAACCATATTGCAGTTACATACACAACATAAGGATTTGCAAAAATAAGACCTGGAGAAATTTAAAAAAAAAAAAACAAGTTGTGTACTTCATAACTGTAATGATCTCTAATGAGTTTATTTTTATTATAAGCAATCGTGTGAGATATTATTTCTAGAAAAAGAAAATTCAAGTTTTATGTAACAGACAATAGCTGCTGCAGCGACCATATTTAACCATAAAATTGTGCAAGATATTCTTTATAGCAGATGTAAAAAGACAGACAATGAGATACAGTTACTGAAAATACCCTTTTACTGCAACCAGTATACAATGTGTGAAATCAATCACTTCTCAATAAATAATAATTATTGAATATAGCTTCTCAAACTCATTTACGTGTTTTAATTAATTCATCAAGTTTGAACAAAGGAAATCATGACCATGATGGTATTTGGATATCTGATCACAATTAGCATAGAATTTTACGATTTTATCTCTCTGTTTTCTCGTTAGTTTTAGTTTTGATTAAGAAGATATATCAAACACTCAAGAACAGTGTTTGACCACATTTCCAAACACCTTGAGGTTCATCAAAAATAATCCACTACATGTCGTACATACTTTAAATTCTCTTCTCGGTGTTTGGAAATGTGGTCAAACACTGCCTTCCGTATTTGACATATTACTTCTCTTCTAATTCCTCAAGACCAGCTAATGGTGAGTAAATCAAAGCAGTAATCCTTACCCAATGTCAGCCCCTCCACAGACCAGCGAGCATACAGCACCTGGGACTGAGTTATGAGCTAAAACTTCACTAACAATCCTGCGAAACAAAAACAATTAACTTGTAAGTACTACTTGGCACATTTGGGTCTAACTTCATGCAAATTATACCTACTATACAGTACTAGTAATTATTCAGCAGTAAAAAGATTGAAATGGCTTGAAGAATTTTAAACGAAAACAAATCTAAACAGGAACAAGTATGTACTACTTACTTTGTGACAGCAACACTTGTAAGAGGAGTTGATGGAGCACCTTTCCTGTTTTAAAATATAAAACATGACTTTAAATAAAGAATCTATACTAAATAGATTAAATAAATATATAGTAAATAAATGAATTGATTAATTATTAAATAATTGATCCAGTGGTTGCAATTGGTTGATCAGAGAATCACTTGATAGATGGATCAACTAATCAATGAATCAATCACTCATTCAGTGAATTGATTACAATGAGCAGGAACTTCTGTTGTGGTAACACACTGACAGAGTGAATGTCACAGCGTAAACCAATCAAAAACAATCAATCACTGAAACCTGACTGACTGACTGACTGACTGACTGACTGACTGAATGAATGAATGAATGAACGAACGAACGAAGGATGAACAGATGGATGGATGAACGGATGGATGGGGGAATGGACGAACAGACAGACAGATGGACAGACTGACTGACTGACTGACCAACTGACTGACTGACTGACTACTGAATGAATGAATGACAAATTAACGCCCAAGTCGCTAGTTGAGGGAAGGTGCCTACGAAGCCTGGGGGCTGCAACTGCAGTCACATCCCCAAGGTGCTAGAACACCTGACTGGCCTGCCCAAGCCGCAACCAAGCCACAAGCCCCCTACGCCAAGCCCCCCACAGGCACCCATCACACTCAAGCCAGATGGCACTGGTGGAAAAAAAAAATGCTGAAAAGAGGNACTATAATTCAATCCACAATGCCACACTAACAGAGCGATGAACACACTGTGAGCACATGGGACGACAACACACATACTAACCAAAAATACCGCTGGACAATGTCAGCCCCAGGGCTCTCATGACCATATGACTGCTGTAAACACTACAGAACGCACCAAATGCTAAACAAATGCTAACAGATGGCCAAGGCACTATCAAACGCTTACAAAAAAAACGCTACTGACCAGACTAGCTCCTGGTCATAAACTATCTAAAATTTTCTTGAACTATATCAGATGGCCAAGGCACTATCAACCGCCAATAAAAATGCTGCTGACCAGACTAGCTCCTAGTCGTTAACTATGTTAAATTTCATTTAACTATATTACACAAAGATACACACTGATAACATTAAATCTGTGCATTCATTTTTTAGGCAATTTTACAACAACCTACCAAAGATTAACATTTCCACAGACCATGCTGACACTACTGTTCCAACCAAAAACAGCCACAGGAAAATTAAACGCTGTGATGATGCCTACCAAGCCAACTGGATTCCATTGTTCAAGGAGAGTGTGACCTGGACCTGATGCAAAACAAACACGATATAATAAGAGTGAAATTCAAGATAATATTGTGTACTACACTATGGTCTCTCACTGTGGAGCTACTTCTGTGAATGGAAGTGTTGTGCTTGCTCTGATCTCTCAATCTTGCGCTGGCTGGTGCTAGAAGATTTTGTTACTTTTTGCCATTGTAGTTTTTACATTATGTGTTGTAAGTCAAACTCTACATGATTTCAATAACTAAAATTGCAAAAAATCAACTTAGTCTTGTATTTTCATTGGTCTCTGTTAAGTGGACACACTCTATAAAAAAAGACACCAGTAAAGGCCTTCACAGTGACTGATCTGCACAATAGACATTCCACTGGGCTGAAAATAAAGTTAACAAAAAGTGAGATCTCTTACGTTCTGAAGGCAGTACTTTTCCATCAATCATCCTGGACAGACCAACAGCATAGTCACAGATGTCCACATACTCTTGAACCTCACCAATACCTTCAGGCTTAATCTTCCCAACCTCAAGAGCAACCTGTAAAATATGAATTGCCATTAACCCTGCTCATTGTAAAAATATGTGCACATACATGTATAATGCATAACAGTCTTGTAACCACGCCTTCATTGATCATTGTCACCCCCAGCTGCAGGGGAGCATAGGGAATCCACCAGTACCTTCCAATGCACACCGTTCTTTGCTAATGCTTTGGCTCTCTCCTAGGAGTAGGCCCCACTCTTTCCAACTCTTGCAGCATGCACCACTTCTCCTCAGTTCACTTGCCAGTTGGGCAAGTTTGCTTGCCTGGAATAGAGTCCTCACATTCCAACAGCCAATCCTTGTTATAGACTTCAGTTGAAGCAAGTTGATCGGCTTTTGGGTGCCCAGCTGGGTTTGACCCATTGGTCATGCTTTTTATCAAACTTTAGCATGAAGGCTCTACAAGGATAGGCTAATGACTCACTGCCAGCAACTAGAGAGGCTTACATCTACAATGTGCTTGATGTCTAGTAAGTTGTACTTTGTAAAATCTAAGGCATAGCATGGTTTGCCATCTGAATCAAACCATGAGATTATTGACACTGATCACTGTTCAGATATTTGGGATGTAATTGGCTGCAATAACTGTGGACTGCACAGCTTGATTTGGTAGTTACCGTCAGTTTTTATTTTCTTATTGTCATTTTTCTTTTTCTTTTTCCAATGTGCAAGAATAACCCTGCATGCAAATTTCCCATTGATCCGATCCAAATAACTATCTAGGATAAAGCAAGCATTAAAACATAACCCTGAGTAAATGCATATTACTCACCAGTTTTCCAAGGTTTTCCAGGTTATCTCTCAATGCTTGACCAATCTGTCGAACAATTTCTCCACGCTTTGGTGCAGGTGTCTTAAGGTAACAAGGACACATTTACAGCATGTACATAAAAATTAAGTCTTCATTACTTATCATTAAAAACCACTGCCTGTAAATATGGAGAATCTGATGAAAGGCCAGAAATTCGAATGTTCTTGTATTGTGTCAAAAACACCCTTGTGGTGAACTTTTTCTGAAATGTACTTTAAAAGTTTCAGGAAAGTTTGAAAGACCGCTTAATCAACCAAGATGGCTGATGGAATTTATGCAAAATTGCGCATTTTCATCAGGCCAGTACAGAAAGAGGGGAACTTGCCTGGATTTCATACTCACACAGTTTGTAATTTTCAGGTTTGATCATTCCTCTGAGCTTGAAGTCATCTTAGAGTAAATTTGCTTTGTCTACTTCCTGGCCGTTTGAAAAATGCAACTGTCGCAATTTAATTTACATGTAAAATTTCAACTGATTTTAGAGGGTCATAACTCTTCTAGTATACGAATCTTAAAGTAAGTAACTCTTAAGTAAGTAGCTCAGTCTACATAATGTGAGAATAAGACTTGAAGCAAAGAATAATTATAATTATAATTATATTTATTGTGTTGAATATTTTTTAGTCCAGCTTAGTAAAATTGTTAAAAAAAACAGATAAACAACTACTGAAAAGAGTAGAACATTGTATGTCCTAACTAAGCCTTAGAAGATTGTCAAAAACATATATCAAACTACAGTTTCTAAAGCCATACCATTGCCCAAGTTTTCCAAGCATCCTTGGAACACTTGACTGTTTCATTGTAGTCTTCCAAAGAACCCTGAAAATTAAGTTACATGCAACATGTATCTTGCTTTGTACTGTGTCCCTAGTGTAACTTTTAAAAGATCCTACAGTTTTTAACTGATCAAATATCTGATACTTC